CTTATCATCACTTTTTTACTAAACACATCAACTACTTTATCAGCTTCAGATTTTGGATTAGCTGATTGTAAATAGCTGATAAAATTGAGTGCTGAAAAGTATTTTTAAGTACTGAAGCTGATTTTTTAAATAAGTATTTACGTGTTTGGATAGACGTGTTGAAACTGATAATAAGCAGTTAATGTGTTTGGTAGAAAAGTGCTGATAAGTTGTTCTTTTATTAAAATGACTAAGATATCCTTAAAAACTTTACAAAAGATTATAAATTAAAAAGTTTCTTTGTAAAAAAAAAACATGAAAAACAAATATGAAATGAAAAGAAAGTTAGAAAATTTATTTTGGAAAAATATTTTGTAAATTAAAAAATATTATAAGAATAAACTAGTAAAAGCCTTGGTCAAACTAAAAGTGCTTATAAGCTTAAAAGTCATAAGTTGGGGGTGACCAATTTATCACTTATGCTGATTTTAGCTTATAAGCACCTGACTTATAAGGACTTTGGGTATTTACCAAACACGTAAATAAGTCAAAAAGTATCTATAAGCCAATTTGATCAGCTTATAAGCTTATATAAACACCCTCTAAGTCTCGCCCTCGCCAAAATCAAGGCGTATATGTAATTTTATAGGATTTGAGTCAATTGGTTAGAAGGCTTCGTTAACAAGGGAAAACCATTTCAAAAGGAGCACTTTACATCAAAAGCGATCTGCATATTTTGCGGAGAGGAAAGAATGTGCTAAGCTTAAGCTTACCTCTAAGAATTGTTTACTTGTTAAAAGCAAAACTTATATTATAAACCGTCAAACGTAAGTGAATCGCCAGCCACTTTGGAAGATGCGACAAAGAAAAAATATCATCCTTAGAAAATCTATGTTAATAAGACAATAACAAAGGGAATCACGAAAAGTTCCATGAAGAATACCAATAAACAATCAATCAATTAATTATGCCTCAAATTCACAAACTAGCTAACATCGACTATGTGTTTATATTCACTCTATTCAGATCCTCTTTTTTTAAAGGTAAATGGTTTGTCCTTTTAGATAGAAAAAAACAACCCCCACCCCACCAAAAGAGTTCGGAATCAAAATATTATTTATTTGGATTCAAAACATAAAAATAGGTGAAAAAATCAACTAATGATCAATTTATATATATGGCATGAATTGAATGTGATATGCCTTAACGACAAGTTTGACTCTTAAGATATAGCGCATGTAATCCATGCGCTGTATTTGAATTTTAAAATGATGGCCAAAATATAAGTATAGCGCATATACGGAATGTGTTATACATGAAGTTGAAAAGATAGGTAAATCTAGTGCATCCCATATATGGACTATACTTATATAAAAAATGGCCCAACCATCTTCCTCGACAGAACACACTGAAACATCCACACACACACACACCCCTTATTTTTTACGCAAAAATCTCCATTGGAGCCCACCCGTCCCCCAAAAATCGTGTCCCCCCCGTATTTTAGCGAGCTAACACCTGATCTAAAGTGTTGTTGTGTAGTGGATCTCTTCTATTGCTCGTTTTGGTGGTTAAATTATCAATTTTTCACAATTCAAAAAACTGTAAATCGAGGTATTTCGGCTTACTTTTCGGTAAAACTCATGTATATAAGTACTAATTAGTTATTTTTACTATATTGTATGCTTTTTGTTATTGTTTTGTGATATAATTATTTTTTTATTTTTTATCCGGATTAATTTATTTATGTGCTAAAAAATTATAAAAATTATATATTGTTATGTTATTGAATAATTAGTGTTATACGTGATTTTAGTGTTGTACATATAATAATATGTGACTTTCTTATTGTTTAGTGCAGTTAAGTGTTAAGTTGTGCCTTTAATTGTTATATAGTGCCCTTCAGCGTAGTAAACTGATAATAAATTTTAGCTTATGGTAGTTGACTTTGTTTATGGCCATTTAGAGTAGTGTGACTTTAGTGCTCTTTAGGATTCTGTAGTCTACAATAAAAACTACGTGCCCTCATTAACTAACTCGGTTAGAGTATTCAATTATGGATTTAATGTATTAGTAGATTATTATCAAATATTAGATATTAATCATAAAATAATTAGTTGACATTATGAAAATTTAATATTTAATTCTGTTATAACCCAAAAAATCTGAAAAAGATGACAGTTCAAACAAAACCTTACGGAATTTTAGTCAAAAAATGTGGGAAACTAACATATGAAATATTAATATAGAAAATTTATCGACCTAAGTATTTGTTATAGGAATAATTACTAAAATATCTTATTAGTTATGACTAAAATATTTAATTCTCTTATAACCCCAAAAATATCTGGAAAAAAATGATAGTTTAAACAAAACCCTCCCGAATTTTAGTTAAAAAAATATAAGAAACTAACTTATAAAACAATAATATAGAAAAAAATTCAACCTAAGTATTTTATATGAACAATTATTAAATATATCATGATTAATTATGAAAATTAAATATTTAATTATCTTATAACCCAAAAATAGCTGGAAAAAGATGATAGTTCAAACAAAACCCTGCCGAATTTTAATAAAAAATGTAAGAAACTAACATATAAAATAATAATATAGAAAATGTATCAACCTAAGTAATAATATAGAAAATTTATCGATTAAATATTAACACAAAAATATCGCAATATATTTAAAGATGTTAAACGATTAAACAAAAAAATACTTTAATTAATATTGTTCAATTTACAAATATCGTCATGGAGCTTTCCCTGTGCATCCTGGACCTGCATCTCGAGACCTACTGTTGTTCCAGGGCACCATAGGTATTCACACTTCCACCCCAGACGTATAGACGATCTTTGGGAGTTCATTAGGGACCACCCACTGCATCCTTGTACAGTTAGACGCCTTCAGCGGACGGGGTTTTACCGAATTATAGAGATCGGTCGATTGCAGTTCGATTGGGCCTTGATCACGACTATTACAGAGTTGTGGTGACCGGAGACGCACACGTTTCATCTACCCATCGGCGAGGCTACCATCACACTAGAGTACGTGGAGGTTCTTTTCCGGTTGCCCGTTGATGGTATGCATGTAGCTTACCCACATGCTCTTAGGGACTATACGGGAGAAGACTACCTTCATATGTTGCAGAGGCTCACCGATTTCCAGCATGCGGAGCTGACTACATTGAGTGGTGCCATTCGATTGCAGCTGACGCCTGTTAGGCAGCACCTGGTGGCGCTACAGATGGAGATTATGACTCATCATCAGAGGATATCGACTGGCAGACGAGGTTGTTGTTGCTGATGATGTTTGGTGGTATTCTGTTCCCGAACACTTTGGAAAACCTAGTCAGTTAGCGATTTCTACATCATCTGGAGCAGCTAGATGAGTTACCTGATTACAACTGGGGTGGAGCTGATTACACCTTCCGGTTACTTTAATATAACCAAACGTTTTCTCGCATTCATTTTTTTACATAACAACGAAACCAATCTATCGTACTCCATTGTAATTGGCAACTTAACAATATACTGTGGAGAACAACTATAGTTACTGATTTATTCTCCACGACAACCTCCCCACCTTCCCCCCCCCCCCCCCCAAACTATAATGAAACCTTAATTTTTCGCTCTTCAGACATTAAGGCAAAATACGCAAACAAATATTTCGGAATGAGTAAAAGAATATAAAAAGGATGCAAATTGCTTACTTTTGCCCGAATATTTTTAACGAAACAATGACACTCCTTAAATAAGCAAAAACCCAATGTAGGGGGTACAATAATTGAGAGTCTAACGCATCTATCATAAGCGCTATAAATGTAGCACAATAAATACATGTGCTATACCCACCAGGTCAGTAAAATTCAAATATAGTGCATGGGTTGCATGCGCTATACCTTAATGGGCAAACGTGCCGTTAAAATATAGCGCATTCAACCCATGAGTTATATATAAATTGGTCATCAGTTGGTTTTTTAACCTATTTTTGTGCTTTGAGTCCAAAAAAATAATACTTTGGTTCCGGACTCTCCCCCAAATCCCCCGAAAGGGGGGGGGGGGAGATTTTGGATTTTAGTAGGTGTGTCTGGCTAGATTCCCCATATTTCAAGAGTCTAACAGTCAAGTAATACCCAAAAAAGAATAATAACAATAAATAAGAGGCACCAGAACTGAGCCTGTGAAAATTTCATACCTATAAAAGCAAAACCCTGTAATACTTATTCCAAAACTTTGACCATAAATAGCAAAAATTCTTACTTCAGCAACGTTATTTACTCATCAAGTCAGTTACTTCTTTTGCAATTCACTTCTTTATTCTCTTAGCTTACTTTTCAGATAACCTGGCAGCTAAAGTCTAATCTATGAAACTGCATAAATTAAGATATAGACATTAGGCAGGATCACTTAACAGTTTTTTTCCTGAATTTTGCTGCCATCAAAGTAAAGACAAATAGTTCAACTGTCTAATCAAGGCATTTTGGTGCAGTATAGATCACTGCATGTAAAGTGCAGTACAATACCTCTTCCTAAATGAAAACTTATAGGAAAATAAAGTGCAAGTGGGGTACAAAACAGGAGAAATATTAAAGCATGTAGAGCTTACTATTTCCAGCCTATTGAGATAGGTTTAGGCAAACACCTATGTCACATGAAGAAATGAGCAAAAAGGGTTTAACCACATGAAGAAAAACAGAATAAACTTTTTGGCTAAACAAGATCAGATACACTTGCATTTTGAGCATGTAAACATGATAAACATCAGTAATATCAAATTTACAGCCTAAAAAGGTGTATTATCTGAGGGGAGACACGCGCACGGGGAAGCAAATTACTTTCTGCATTGTATGTGAATCTACAAAGCCATAAATTAGTAAATACTTTCACAATATGATAACCAACAGATGCTGGGATAAAACTCAAAAAAGATTAGTAAGAAAGCTTCAAAGGAAAGATGTAGTCTTCACTTTCCCAGCATATGCCAATAAAGCAATCTAAACAGCATAAAAGGCCCTGTTACCAAGGTTTCAAGATATGAAAATCAAACAAGAAGTACAATGATATCCCTACGTGATGTCTACCATGTTGTGGCGGCCACTATCCCTTTATATGTCGTCATGATCTTAGCCTATATCTCCGTAAGGTGGTGGAAACTCTTTTCACCAGAGCAATGCTCTGGCATCAACAAGTTTGTGGCAAAATTTTCAATACCTTTATTATCCTTCCAAGTGATATCAGAAAGCAACCTCTACAAAGTAAACCTGAAGCTTCTATTAGCAGATTTCATACAAAAATTTCTTGCTCTGTTTCTACTGGCAGTTTTTGCCAAACTGAAGCCCAAAGGAAACCTGACTTGGATCATAACAGGTCTTTCAGTTTCAACCCTTCCCAATACCTTAATCTTGGGGATTCCACTAGTAAAGGCCATTTTTGGTGATGCAGCAGCAGAACTACTAGTGCAGATAATTGTACTGCAGAGTTTAATTTGGTACAACCTCCTACTATTCTTGTTCGAGCTCAATGCAACAAAAGAATCTTATGTGCCATCACCATCAGAAGTAGCAGGTATGTACACAGATAACAGAACAATGGTTCCTAAATGTTGGAATTTATTTGGATGGCATCCGTTTAACAGAATCTATTTAAAGCACTCCAATTTTAACTGTTAAGAACCAGAAAGCAGTAGATTGCAAATGTGTTAAAGTGAAAAGAGAATCCTATTCTGGGCCCCACAGATTACCCTGTATCATATGATTTATAGATAAAATAATTTGTGATATCGTGTAGCATGTGATCAATTGTGAAATGCTCCTTTTTCATTTTCTAAACTAGTTTCAATGAAATATAAGTTTGCTTTACAATGATATGATCCATCTACCTGCAAGAGACAGATGCACTTTCAACTCACCTAAATGAAACAAACAGGAAGTTTGCTTAGACAACCCATTCAACAATGACAAAAGTAGACAGTAGTCATAATTGGTTCCTGAAGTTTAGAACTAACCAAACTACTATATCATGCATCCATCCAACTTGCTTTTTCATCCCTTTACACCCCCCCCCCCCCC